TTTACTTCTTTCTTGAAGTCTAAAGTTTGCTATAATTGTTAAATAAATCTTCACAAATTATAAATATGAAACAACACAGAAAACAAGCTAAAAAAGATCCAGAACAAAATACAAAGAAAAATGACCACTTTCGTCTCGAAATCCCTGCAGATATAAGACGAAGCTTAAATTTGACAACTTTAGAGATTACCTCTCCTGAAGTATCGATTAATACACCAATCACTCAATCTTTACATTCGAAGTCTACTTACACTCAATCTCTATCTTCGAAGACTACTTCCATTTCTTTCAGCACTACGCCAATCACTCAATCTTCATCTTCGAAGATTACTTCCATTTCTTCTAGCACTACGCCAATTACTCAATCTCCGTCTTTGAAGACTACTTCCGTTTCTTCAAGCACTACATCAATCATTCATTCAGGTCCAATCCCAATTTGAAACATTCATCTACCGACTAAGTATTTACACATGAATCGTGAAACATCCGCTCAAGAATCATCATTTTGAGAATATCCACCTGAGATTCAACACGAAGTTCGGAAGATTATGGTAATTGGTGTATTGTTGTATTGTTTTATTTATTTTATTTAAAATATTTACATTCTAATAACATTACTACATTTACGATCATTTTTAGACTTTAAAGCTGAAAACAAGAAATTAAAGGCTTAGAATAACGAGCTTCGACGTCAAATAGATGAGCTTAATGATAAATTCTAAATGATTTCCTTGAAGTATAAAAGTTTACAAAAAAGTAACGAACTATTAATGAAAATCAATCAAGAGTTTGGCCACGAAAATGATCAACTTCAAGCAGACCTTAAAGAGTATCAATCGTTTGAATTACTGAAAATCCTGAATCAATCATCAGATGACAAAATTTGAACAAATAAGCATAAATCAAAACAAGCTAGAAAATCTAAACGAAAGGTAAGGAGTGGTTCAGAAAGACATTATACTAAACCGAAAGGTAAGCGATATAAAGTATTTCAGAAGGTAAACACTCTAAGAAATGCGATATGAGAACAGTTCGAGCAGTCCAGAAGATAGTTCAAATGAAAGTTCTGAAGCTGAAAGAAGTTCACACGACGAGAGAGATAAAAAAATGGGCGAAAAATATGCCAGGGTTTGTCTAATTTTCTTAGACGATTATATATTTTATGGTGTTGCCGATACTCATCAAATTTCTGTTTTTTCTTGCTTTTTTTGTAAATAATTTAGGTGGGGATGAAAAATATATTAAAGACTCTTCTACCTGAACTTGATATGAATTACGAAGAAACGTTCAATAACCCAGCGAATGTCGAAATTCGAAGAAGACTAATTCCTGAATTAGTAAAGTCGTTAAAGCCAAAACATTGTGCTTCGTCAGACCAAATTAGCAATTGGTTACAATCATTACATAGATCCCGAAGAAGCCGAAACAACTATAGAAATAAGGGATGAATCGACAGTGATAATTGACGCTTACATGCCAATGGTCGTTTAAGTGAGGTATGATTTATTGCTTAAATTTTATATATTTATTATATATAACTAA